ATGATCATATATACTACCAAAATTACAATGTAACCAATAAGTGGCTTGGTTCCTTTACTGATCTAATGAGATTCAGATACTCTCTGGTCCTGTTTAATCATCACAATACATTAACTTAACTAGATTTGAATTTATTTAGGAATTATATAGTTAGCGTCGTGGAAAAGGTCAAAAATGTTTAGACTGAAAATAAAAAACAACCAGACATCATAACAACACCTTCTCAAGGACATCAACTTGGATTTGCTTTGTCCTACAGTTGGCCATGATTCAAAATAAATAGAGAAAAAAAATGAAGAAACTTAGCCACATTCTAATAGTCCACTTGTTTGATATAAGTATAACCTTCATGAAACTAGAAAGGGGCTATAGATTATTCTGAAATTTAAAAAAAAAGATTAAAAAACCCTTAAATCAAAACCCCAAGACCATACTAACTGACCTATCCAAGAGCACCATTTGTGGTCAATTGGCCATTAACTTTTTTTGAAGGCAAAAAGAAAGATGTTGAAACTTTTGAAAACAAAGAGGTAGAAGCAACAGCTAGATTATAAAAATCTTAATTGTCGTATTAACCTTTGTAAATTTTATTCTGAAATTCATGACATCAGCTAAAGATTTTTAAGTAAGGAAAATCATTGTGACAAAAACACACCCAAGACAAGTTGAGGAGGATGAAGACAACAGCACAGGCTAAAGTCTGGAGATGTGAGCTGTTGTAGTACTTTGAATAATAGATAGATAGATAGATAGATAGATAGATAGATAGATAGATAGATAATAGATGAATAGATAGACAGACAGACAGATATGTGATGGGTGGGTGGATGGAAAGATAGATAGATAGATAGATAGATAGATAGATAGATAGACAAATATGTGGTGGGTGGATAGATAGATAGATAGATAGATAATAGTTGGATACTAGATAGATAGATAGATAGATAGACAGACAGACAGAAAGAGGGATAGATGGAAATCTAAGGTCAAACAGGGTCTCTGGGGTGGAAAAATATGTAACATTATTGGTATTATAACTACAGGTAGAATATAGATTTTACAAGCAAACAATTGAAGAAAGACGAGCTTTTATTTATTTATTTAGGAAAACGCTTTAGCGCCTCTGAAATGCTTTCCTGTCTTGCTGGCTTTCCTATTTCACGTGATGCTTTTGGAAATGTTTTATTATAGATGAAATGATGAGCTTTTTGAGAACAAAGAAGTGTATCTTCTGCATTGCCCTCCCTTTATTTTATGTAGATTTTGGTGTAGAGCAATTAAATAATAAACACAACCTGGAGAGACAAGATTTCTAAAATAAATTCACAACTGGCTACCATCATTTGTGTAGTCAGACGCGCTACCGTTGCGCCACGAGGTCCTCCCTTGCCATCATTTGTGAACGAGCTATATATGACCATTAGAAAAAAATCCTTTTTGAACGTAGCTACGAAAAGTGGAAAGTCTGCCTGGCAATTAAAGACAGGCATAAGTGACCATAAAGGGGACACACTCTTAAACAGAAGTGAGGCCAGCCAGTCACCTCACTTCACCCACAAAGTAAAACTGGGATGAACAAAGATCAACATAACCCTCCTCCTTCAGCACTTCAGAATTGGGCATACATTTTTTTTAAATGTTTTCAAACCTGGTGAATAATACCAGAGTATTTTCAGAGTAATAGTGACTCTGAAAATATCTACCAGCTCTACCAAGAAATTTCTGCCTATGGTGTTCTCTTATTGCACTGAATGTTGAACAAAAGCTCATCCTCTAAACCATAAATGTTGATCTGCAAGTACATACATAACGCTTTCACAAATGCATCCCTCCCTGCCGGTCACTATTTGCAAATATCGTCAATACCATCAACCGAACCATCTCTCCTTTCTTTCCTGATCAGTTTTCCACAACAAATTTCCCTGACAAGTTAAATGGCATTTTTTTAATAAATTTCTTATTAAAGAAAAGAACTCATAAGTATGACAGAGAAACTTACTGACCAAAATCTCTCAAATATCTACTTATATCATAAATTAAAATTCTAGATAAAGAGAACATGCCAGCCAACAAAAGACAAAATTACAGTGTCATAAAAGTCAACTGCCATTTCCTATGACTAGTATTGTAGTGTGACCATGTATGTCATAAAAGTCGAAATAAAGCAGATATCTCTTTGACATTGGAAAATCATAAAGCAAATAAAGAAATTAGTATAAAGACTAAAAAAGAAGCACAGTTAAAATTGTTCATCTACATATTTCAATAAAAACATGAACTAATGTAAAGGTAAAAAGTTTACAAAATATTTAACTTTATTGAGAATGAGGTTTGTGACAATAAGGCCATAGCTGATGCAAATCATTTTGATAACTGATTTGTGTTTCCCAGACTCACACCACTTGAGGCTCCTCAGTGGTATAGTCTGGTATCATTAACTCAGGCCATAATGGAGCTCAAATATTAATTTACTTATGAACTAATCTGTGCTGTCTGATTTAGGTAACCTTTGGTGATCTGAAAAGGTGCTTTTCTGAACTCAGAGTCTGCAAACAAAAGTGTGTACACTGACTAGCCAATAGCAGAAAGTTCCAACACAGTTCATGAAAGAAGTGAAGATCATCACATATTTTTATCCCTTTGTTGATTGGTGCCATGAAAAATTTCTACCAGTCAAAGTCCTAGAATGTATACATTTTAAAATGTCATAAATGACCTTTCCAAGAGGGAACCCAAATTTATGTCTCAGGCAATATTGGATCATGAAAGCAATAGGATTTGCAGAGATGCCACAGTCTAGTCGGTTATAATCAGAGGTTTTGTGGGAAGGGGTTGGGAGGATGTAATGACACCAGTAGAAAATTTGATGTATGACCTTGGCCATTTCTTGACATCTGAGCCTTCATTTTCCTCATCTCATTTAGGAAAGGGAAGGTCTTTTCTAGGTGACTTCTAAAACAGTTTTCAGGCCAGTGACTGTCAGCTGATTTTGTTTTTCCCCTCTCCTGACCTTGTGGTAATCTCTTGATTCTTTCCTCATCTACAGATACAGGTCAAATCATCCACATAATTACAACAAAATCTTAAGTATGGTTTTTAGCAAACCCAGTGGCTATCAAGTCAATGGATTACCCTTTGGCTAATAATAAATAGAATCAAATTTCATAGTAAGAATAAAAGTTGGGCACCTTAGTGAGCTTTTAGTTATAAAGTCTGACTTACAATGAAATACAAAACAAGCTGAAGGTATCATGCTATGCTATCAGGAGGAAAGATAATAAAACATCCATCTATTCTATTGTACACAGACTGAAGAAAATGGTCACATGATGAGCCTGAAAACAAAATCAAATTATCTCTTTAACCACCCAGGGAGAAGAGAGCACAGTAGCACTCAGCTGAAAACCAAAAAATACAAAGTAATGTTTATGAGCCTGTGATTTTATTTATATAAATAAGTACCTTTTTTGATACAGAGCTTCCCTATGTAGCCTAACTGTCCTAGAACTAGCTCTGTAGTAAACCAGGCCAGCCTTGAACTCATGGATCTGGCTGCCTCTGCCTCCCAAGTATTGGGATTGAAGGCATACACCACCATGTCCATCTATCCATAATCACTTATAAAATGAAAACTCTTTTTGCAATTATGGAATACTTTTAAAAGCAAAATTTTAGAATTAACATTAGTACTTCCATGTTTGAATTTAGGAATATAGGGCCATGCTAAAACTAAGGCATGACTTCAAAGCCGGGCTCAAGAGATCATCGCCCTTTTACATTTTCTTTGTGTTCTACTTCTGCCTGAAAACAACACAGATAGATATGCATACTTCTGAGGTATGTCAGAAGTATAACTCCCTGAACGTTAGTGGGCAGATAGTGGTATGATAGCTAAGAAGCAGGGATTTCTTTTGTTCAGGGAAAACTGGCCAAGAGGATGGAGCCAAACTTAGGCAGGGAGAATTACCATCCTGCAGGGGTGAGGGTCTTTCCTGGATAGCAAATACAAGACATACACAGTTGGCAAAGATTTACTGAATTCAGTGTTCTGTCCTCAAATATAATCAAGATCAATTCATATACTGTATTATTTTGGTTGTTTCTCTTTCTCCTATTTCCTTTAAACTGGAGACACCATCATTGGTGATTTCTGTAGTCCCTTCATGGGATTCTGGGAAGTTAACTGGGAAAGACATGGACTAAATTTAATCTCTCACTTAAATGATAAACCAAAACGAAACATTGAGGTTAAGAATATAACATGAAAAAGTCAAGAAAAGTTTTCAACCATCAGCGTTATTTGGTTATAGAGAACAGAAGACAGCTCAAAGAGGTGATGGTTGCAGGATCAACCTGAAAGGAACGCTGCCCCGCCTAAGAGGAAGGACACCCAGTTTGAGGATCCCGAGGCAGGATCATTGGAGACAGCAATTGCAACAATGCAGTTGTCTTCTCCCTTGGAAGGAAACAAGCTCAAGAGCCTTCTCCCCACAAAACAATCCTCCCCGCACCCCTACTTCCACCCAACCACATAGACAAGAATTCTATTTCCCCTCTTTCAGCCCTCGTACTAGATTCTTATTGGAGCTACTGCCCTGGGGAAACAGATCTGAGAGACGGGCCTCATTGAAAACGTTGCATTAGGATGGGCAACGTGCTCCGAAACACACCTTCGCTAAAGGAAAAAGTTGGAAAGAGAAAAGTTAAGGCAAAAACTAAGGTGAAAATAGATAGTAACGGCATCAGGACACAGCCCTGGACTCTTACATGGGTCTCACCTGCTAAAGGAAATCTGTTTGAGTGGGAGATCAGTGAAGTGACTGTCGGGGAGAATGGAAAGATGGGGTAAGGGTCTACCCCACATGAAGCCCTTCGAAAACCATCTCTACTGAGCTCTCTCCTCCTCTTCATCTCAGGGGCTGTTGGAGAAAAGAACCAAAGTTTGAAGGAAAGTTGAAAGAGTTGGTGCTACAGGGAACTGTGGAAGATTCGGGTCTTACCCTGGCGGCTCTGGATGAGTAGGGGTCCTCAAAGAGGGCCCACATGCGGGGCTGCAGCCTCCTCCAGCGGCCAGACTTGCCATCGGCTCCTCCCAGCCCTGCTGCATCCTCAATGCCCAGCCTCTTGGCCGCCAGGTCCTCATCGTCACCAGGGTCGCCTCCGATGAGATCGGGTGTCTCGAAGATGTCCAGCGCCTCCTCCGCGTCACGGTGCTGCCTGTAAGTCATCCAGCAGCAGGGCTCCACGTCGGTCTCGTCGATGCCCCAGAAGGCCAGCTCCTCCTCGAAGAGCGGCCCGCACACGTCGGCGGGGCAGTGCAGTTTGCCTGTACGGTAATAGTTGAGCACATAGGCGAAGACGCCCGGGTGGCGATCGAAAAAGAATTCGCGGCCTCCCCCAGGGTGGTCTCCGCCGTTGCCACCGTGGGAACTACAGTTGCCCGCGCCGCCCTCGAAGCAGCTGCTGGGGACCGGGGACAAGGGAGGCGGTCGCGGCGGCGGAGAGAGCGGAGGGGGCAGCGGTTGCAGCTTGTCCCCCGCAGCGGTCAGGCAGTCGCCCTGAGGTTCAGAGGAGGCGAGAAGGGCCAGGCGCGTTCCGGGAAGGGTCTTGAGAGTGCTGCGGTAGGTTTCGTGCCGGGTGCCCCCGACATTGAGGATCACCCTCTCGTTGTTCTCGATCTTGCCCATCTCTGTGGCTCAGACATGACTAGGGGAGGCGAACACAGCACCAAGTTAAAGCTCTTGTGAGTCCTATACGCACCATGACCCCCCCCCCTACCCCCACCTCAGCCCAAGAGTGCCAAGATGCCTAGCTCGCCAAGTGCGAAGGACCCTCCCAGGAGGAGCTTGGTGTCCAGTCCTGTCCCCGCCTCTTGCATCATGCCTGGCCCAGGTTCCCAGAGAACGAACAAGAGTTGAGTCTTCCTTGACCTTCCAGGAAACCTTTTCTCTTGCGGCACACAGTTCACCCTTGGCTCTGACCTCTCCTTCCTTTTTGCCCTCCACCGTGTTTCTCGTCTATCCCTGCCAAATCCAACCTGCCTTAAGCCCCCAAGCCCCTCTTTCTTTTCCCAAACCCTCCACTGGCTCACTCCCCAGACCCTTTCCGCCACCCATCTATGCTCCAGGCTGTTCCTCTCCTTAGATGGACCCCCCCTTCCCCACTATCCCATATCTCCCTCAGTACCCCTGCCCCCGGTCTCAATGTAATTCCCTATCAGGGAGTTGGGTTGGCTAAGGCAACTTAGCAATGTTGAGCGGGGGCCCTCGAATGCTCCAGCTGCCTGCCTACCCTTGGCCAACCCTGAACAGCACTCTGGTCTCCAGTACTCAGGGACTACCCTTTGCCCGCTGGGCTCCAGGCTCACCCCCGCCCCCACCCGCAACCTACCAGGCAGAAAACTGAAGAGAGAAGTCACAACAACAACGACAACAACAACAACATACGTCCCTGCTGCCTGCTCCTTTCACCAAGGAGACCTCTGACTAATATCCTCATCCAATTTCCTTTTCCCATTACTGTTATCCTTGTTGCTAATGTTATTATTACTTGGGAAAGGAAACGACTAACTAGGATCCATCTTTGAGGACAAAAGTGAGCAATCGATCCCACCCCTCCCCCTTCCCAAGAAAAACAAACATCTTGGGGTGGAGAGTCTGGAGAGTCGGGGGTTGCTTTCGAGGAGGGGTGAGGCCCAGGAGAAGCCGCAGAAGGCACACCCCCTGCGTTCCTGAACTGGAAGACGGGCTGTTTCAAGTCTCTCCCTGGAGCTTCGCATCTACAATTTTACAGCTAGGCAGGGGGATGCCCGTCTGCACCGCCCTTCCTTTCTCCCCTTCCTCGTCCCCGGATACCTTAAGGAGACAGGGAGAAAAGTGGATCTGCTTGGGTCTCCGAGTGGTCGAGGTTTTCCCTGCAGCCAGACGGAGTCTCTGCGGCCAGCTGAGCCGCCCTTCTCAAAGGAGAAACTACTTGTTGGCGTTTTCGGGGTTCAGGTGGTTGAGCCGCTTCTCTGGGTGCTGAGGTCGGGGAGAAAGTCCCCGCCCGCCGCCCGCTGCGCTCCCCGCCTTCACGCTGCTGCGATCTGCGGGCTCTCCCATAGCCACGCTGTTCCGCGCCCAGAGTCACCATCGCGCGGGGCTGGGCGAACCATGGAGCTCGGGGCGGGTCCAGCTGGCGCAGCCCGACCCCGCTGCAGACCTTCTGCCCGGCTGGCTGTGACTAGAGCGGAGGCCGACCGGAGGACAGGGGGCGGGGGACGACGGGGAGCTCACCCAGTTGAGAGTGAAGGCGCCCAGCTAAGATTTGGATCCACAGCTTTGGTCCTCCCCCCACCCCCGCCCGAAAGCAGCCTCTGCTAGAGCTGTTCCTTCAGCACCGCTCGCCTGAGCACACAGCTAGAATGGGTGGGTGGGTCTGGGGAATCTAGGCTGAAGAGCTCCATCCTTGCCCTCTCTGGAGCTATAGCCTGCTCTCCTTAGGCATAGTTTTCCACACCCCGCCACCCCACTGTCCCACCCCTCCCAACAAGTGAGCGAGAATCTAAAGCCAATTGCATCGTTTCCTTAATGAAGGCTGGCAGGGTTGAACTGTTTACAGGTGACAGTGGCTTGCCTTTCCCGTGTCTTCTACCAGGCCCCACTTCCACGCTTCACTTAAATGTAGGTTTCCAGTCACCACGTCACGGTTATATAAAAAAAAAAAAACAAGTTTTCAAAGTTGATCCCGGGAACAGAAGGCTCCGAAAAGCACAACTTCAGCTTCCTTTGTCTGAAATAACCAAGCAACCAAGCAAAGCTCTCATCAGCCAAGTCCTGCTTAATTAACCCAACTGTCTGTTGGGCCTTGTTTGTGCTGCTAATGCTGACGCAATTAAGCTTTATAAACTGCAGGGTATCCCAGAAGAAACGTCTTGTCCCACCGTTCCTGAATTCAGGGAACGTCCTTCTGTAGGCCCTGAGAAGTGAGTGTCATCCAGTCAGCTCTCCTCAGCTTGAATTTGACTATTTTCTCCCCAGGTCCCCTCACATCTCTCTCCTCTTCCTCCGGGCATGTTATCTCTGTACCAAATTCTCTCTTTTTTATGAAGACATCAGCCACATCATGCAGAGACCCATGATAATGGTCTCATTTTGATCCAGTTACCTCTAGAAAGACCCGGTGTCCAAACAAAATCACACTCCAAGTAGCAGACATTAGGACTCCGATAGATCATCGTGAAGAAGAACATGATGTAAGTCATGCTACCTTCATCACCAAAGAGATTATGTTCTCTGTGTGTATTTGTGTGTACACTTCAAGGAGAGACAGAGGGGGTAGGTGGGATGGAGGAGGAGTCAGAGCCGAAGAAGGCTACCATTCTATAATCCCATCAGCATTCTAAGGATCAATACTCAAAAAGGAAGCAAAGTACCAGGATGTAAGTGGAAGAAGGCATCTCTGAAGGGCAAATATTGCTATCCATGCTACTATTTGGTGACACAGTTAGCTTCAGTTGTCAAACTTAACAGGTCTGGGAGGAGAGTAACTCAACTGAGATATTGCCATAATCAGATTGGTATGTGGCAATATCAAATACAGAATATTTTTTATTAATTATTGATATGAGAATGGTAAGCTCCAATTACTAAAAAAAATTGCCAGCTATATCCAAATTCCATCATCCATTCTCTTCCTGTCATAAGTCTGTTCTTGCCTCTTTAATGTCATAAGTTTAATATAGAAAAGGAATAAGATGTTAGCTTAAATGTAAATCACCAATAGCAATACTAGTAAAAATGCAAATTAACCCAAACATTTCAAGTAATAGATAACATTTACTGAGAGCATAATAGCTGCAAAACTCTTTGCATAAATTCAGTGGTTTTGTTTTAATAAAAGAAATATTTATATTATATACTAATTATCATGACTATAACAAACAATTTATGTCTTATATTGATGACAGGAATCACTTATGAAGGAATTCAGTTTTATAATATTAGTTTTATTCTGGGGAAATATTTGAGAAAACATAAAATGAAAGGAAACTGATGGAAAGGACTAGCCGGGAGGAAAGGGAAGATGTAAACTCTAGTGTACCAAGGGGGTGTGGGTTTATAGGAGCTATCCAGAAGTAATCATAGCAATAGGGGGGTTATGCTTTAGAAGAAGTCAGGATTTTCTTATGATTCAATGATGTAAAATTAGAGAATGCGATAAAGAAATCTGACGAGAAAATGTGGGAAGACACAGGATGGGATGCCTTGCCAAGGGGGAGCTGATACAGGAGCAATGAATGGAAGGCCGCTTTTGTTTCCTTGTCAGTATAAGAACATCCTAATATAAACATCCAGGATTCGTTATATAAGAGAGACAAGAACAGAAAACCCCTCCAGCCAGCAATCTCCACTGATCTTGCTGTAAATTTCAGATAAAAGTGAAAAGACAGCAAAGCATTAAAAGATGATGAGCAACACGGAGGAGGGAGAAAAAAAAAACAGCAGCTCCAGTTTTCCTTCTGACTGATGTGGGGCAAAAGCTTAAAGGGCTGGGTGGACAGTTCTGCTCACAGGGAAGCAGCGGAAATGTGGCTCCCTTTGTGTTCTGGACTTAGCATCAGAAAAAGCTACAGAAAGTCAGCATTACATCATCCCCAGAACTCTGGGTCTCATGAAAACAAGCAGTGAGCTTGGTATGCTGGTTCAGGCCTCTACTGCCAGCACCCAGGAGGTGGAGGACAGTGAACAATTTGATGTTCGAGCCTCTAGCCTGACTCCACTGTGAGACCTATAATGAGCTGGGCTAGAGAGTGAGATCCTGTTCGAAAAGAGAAGGAAACACCCTGACTCAGAATAGCATGCCTGTAAAAGTTTAGTAGCTAAGTAAATTAAATCATTTAAAGTCTAACTTTTCTTTTAAAAATGCTCATCCTTGCAATATAATATATTTATAAAGAGCTCGTCTTCGGTAGATGAAAAATAACCATAATTTTCCATTAGTTGCTTCTTGTACAGGGCCCTAAGCTACTCGGTTACTACCGTCTGCATAAATACAAGGAAATAAAGTTCTCAAAGACTGGTAATAAATATGCACTTTTCAAAATAATTTTCTGTTGAAATGCTTGTTTTAACCATCTTTTAATGACCTATTCTGTTAACTTAGTCTATGTTACCTTAACAGGAAATCACAGACTAATCTGTAATGTATAGAAACTTGATTTTGTTTTGTTTTGTCTTTTTACAGTTTGGGAGTCTATGAAGTCCAGAATAAGGTTTCTAGACTGTCATGTGGACCTTTTTTTTTACTGTGTTCTCATGCAGAAGAAGAGCAGAACAAAGAGAGAGCTCACTTCCCATCAATCCTTTTATAAACAGCGTGACTCCATCCGTATTACCCAAACACATCGAAAAAGATTGCGCCTTCCAACATTGCCAAGCGTGGGATCAAATTTTTCAAAATACTTTGGGAGCACACAATCAACCCATAACATTTATGCAATGCATTTCCATTCCTACCTAAACTAATCATTATGTGGATTATGATGAGATAGACTTCAGTAAGATAAATTCATGAGAAACCCTGTCTCGAAAAAACCAAAAAAAAAAAAATAAAATGTGGCAGTTTCATTTGTACTTAATACATGCTACAGCTTTTCTCGGGGACAGGGGATTCTCATAAATATCATCACAGCAAAGGTCCATCTGAACTTACTGCTTCCTTAGAAAATGAATGTGCAAGTGTTCCGAGGAAAGGTATTTTAGGTTGAAAGAAAGCATGTCCGTGTATATAGGATGGTGCTCACTGATAAGCGTTTAAAAAGAGTTGAAAAGAGCTTCTTTAGATAGAAAATTCTGCATCCCTGTCTTCTACACCAGCAATTCATTTAAAATAGATGAAAGTGGACTGTGGAGAACACTCAGTCCTTAAAGTGGTTGTCACGCAAGCATGAGAACCTAAATTTGAATCCCCATAACTAATATAAAAAGCCTGACATCACAGGACCAATATAAAAAGTCTGGCACCATGGGGCATACCTTGGAATCTCAATGCTAAGCAGGCAGAGACAGGACAATCCTTGTGGCTCATTCATCAAACAGTTCAGCTGCACAGAAAGCTCCAGGTTCCATGAAAGAATCTGTCTCAGAAAATAAGGGGAAGAAGATACATGGTATCAGTTAGTGTCCTACACACACATGAACACACACACACATAAACACACATGGAGAGAGAAAGAGAGAGAGAGAGATACAATAGATTATGATACCTAAGGTGATTGCCCTCTACATAAGGATTGAATTATTGGCAAATATCAATGAAATACATTTTCATTATTTTTGTTCCTAAATCATGAATGTTAGATAAGATGTGATTCACGTATTTTTAGTATTTTCTTGTCTGGTACTCTACTCTTATTTCACTTACATATGTATTACTTTATTCAATTATACATTGTTACTGATTCCCTTTCTAACATTTTCTTTAAAATCTCCCAGCCAAGGAACATTATTGCACCTTAAAGACTATTGGAAAAGCTCTAGTTATGCCCTTTAAAAAGCATTTTTAATGCAAAAGTTTATACCAGGAGAGTCTACTGTAGCTGGTTTGCTGTAAAACCTTGAAAATCGGTGGCCTACCTTCTTATAAAATGCTCTCTAGAGGAAGTTGGATTGAGTTTAAGGTTTATGAAAATAAGGCAATACATTAACTGAACATTCCATCTGCAATATATAGTAGAAAAAGTGCCAGAAAAGAAATAACTTTTACTAAGGGCAAATCAACTATGTGAAATATTATCATCTATCTTTGATCAATCAATCTGTCTATGTACATGTACAAGCAGATATACACATATAATTTTATGATGCATTATGGTAAATCTACCAACTAACCATTTAAATAGTCATTTTTCCTACTTAAGCAATTATTGTCATGGTAATGAAGTGAAAAGAATTATTAATAATAGTAGCCATCAAAACTTCCCTAAGCATGTAAGTGAAAAATAAAATATCGAA